GTAAAGGTGGCTTGGCACCTTCCTGGTCTCCAGGAGGAAAGTTGTGTGCCTGTGCATAAATTCAACAGCTCCATGTGCACAAATGCGTTTTAATTGACTGTTCATGCTCCGTGTTTTTTTTCTTCTTCTTTCCTTGCATCACGGAGGGATTCTCCTTATTGTGCACCGGGTGTGTATCCGCTGAAGCGGGCACTCCTGCTTCCTGCGAGCCTCCGAGCCAACTTGTCCTCGTGCCAGGCGTCGGTAACTTGGCACTCCGTCTCTTCCTTTTCCATGCGGCGATCACGTATGTCTGCCCGCACGGAAGTCTGTCGACACATCGAGGCCTTTAAAAACAATAAGATATGACAAAAAAAAAGCAAATCACATCCCTACCTCAGCTTGGAGGCATGCGTGTACTTTTTCCTCGGCGTGTATGTATTTTTACTCGCCATATGTCCGTATATTCCTACACGTCACTGGGGGAGATAGAGTATGCTTAACTGCTGCTGAGGGGCATGCATATGGCACGGGTCACCATAGGTCAATACATTAAAGTATCCGTCAGTGTCCACATGACTCTCGGAGTAATGGTGTCCAGCATTGTGCTGTGCTATACACACTCCTACGCACAGCAATAACACCCTGCAGGACATCGCTTTATTACATAATAAACATATCGCTGCGTGCATAATGCACAACAAATATGTTCTAATCGGTGTAAAAAAATAGAGCTCCTGTTGTGGTTTGATTTCCCGCTTAAAGTGCATGCCATTTCCCGCTTCTAACCAGTCTGCAACAGCACGAGCAGAGCTGAAGGTCGCACCACAGAACGAGCGGTCTCATCTCACTTGAACTTTATCCGTTTGTTGCCGCTGTAACAGCAGATAATGGCTGTGCTGCAGAGAACTATTCAATCCAGCTCTGAGGCAGCAGTGACGTGGTTTAGACAGGATGGATAAGTACCTTGTTTGGACCGGACAAGAGTGATTTGCAGGCAAATGTGAGGCTCCATATATACACTGCGTCTGCTCCAGAGTGGACAGTGTACACAGGCACCCTATCCATCATAGCTGGCCTGGGAAGACAGTAAATCAGGAGTGAGGCTGGGGAAACCAGACCAGTGGTTACACGTTACTATCAACAACATGGTTGTCCAGATGCGTTCCATGGATTAACCAATGAACCTACGTGGATTTTTATCCATGGCATGTCTCTGGGCATGGCAGTGTTGGTCGGTCAGTCCACCACTTTGGTCCAGACGGAAATATCTTAACAACTGCCGGATGGATCGCCATTCCATTCCCCATACGTTCACGCCTCCCAGACGACACCATGAGGTCAACATTTAAATTTGTCCAGTACTTTGGTTCATGACCATATACCCGCAAAACTAATTTCACACAATATCTTTAAAGAGTAGGGGAGGGCCTTCTCAACAATAAAATAAGTGGACATTTTAACCGACCAGATTGAGATACAGAATTACTCGTAATTCAGTGAATTGTCAAAATAATAATTTTTAGATTAATTGATCAAGTCTATAAAATGGCGAAAAATTTTATTTTTCAGTTTCTCAGACGCACAAGTGACTTCCTCAGAGTTCTTGTTTTGTTTGATGCACAGCTCCAAACCCAAAGATATGACATTTACAGTGGTATAAAATATGAACAAAAAACTTTTGGGTGGTTTGGGATTTTTGCTTGATTTAATGAATGGAAAAATGAACCATTAACTATACTCCAAGCTCTTGGAGCATCGGGATGAATGCTACTCGTCCACAAGATTTAAATAAGCATGTGAATGATGGGGTCAGAATATCAGCAAGACAACGATGGCAGAAATTGATGGAGAGAAACTGATAGAACTTGTTGCCACTGCTGCTTTTCTTGTTGTTGTTGTTGTTGATCTCATCAAAAATAGTACATTTCTCAGTGTCCCCATGTCATGTTTACACTGTTCATATATTAGCTTTTCAACTAGGCTACTGGAGTTGTTCACCAGGGACCCTTCGGCATTCATTTGACGCCTTTCAAGTAGGAAAGTATATGTACAAAACTGTACACATGCGGGCTCTTAAGGTGTAGTGCTAGTATTCATAATGGCACCACAAGATTTAAAAAGACACTGTTCCTTGCTCTCTCTCTCTCTCTCTCTCTCTGTGTTGTGGTTTCCATGGTGATTTTCCCTGGTCACCACGTGTTAAGGCGTAGAGCTCTTGCCGTCTCTTCCTCCCCAGGTGTCAGAGGTCAGCGTCTGCTCAGTCGCTGCTGGACGACCTATAAACCTGCCTGGTTTTCATGAGATACTCTTCCTGTACACAAAGAGATACATATACACCTTTATCACACACACACACACATACATATACACATCTACAACTCAGTTTTTCTCTCACGCTTTCTCTCTCTTTGTCTGTCGTTCTCTGCATTTATCACGACGCATGCCCTTGCGCATGGTTTTTAGTGAATGGGACGGTAAGGGTGGAAGCCATTATTAAGTGCGACAGAATGAAGATGCAAAACACTCACTTACACTTTCAACTCTCCATTCGCCTTGGCCTGTCTCTCGCCCATCGAGCTCTGGTGTCGTCTTTCTGCCACCCTGCACACACACACACACAGAGAGAGAGAGAGAGAGAGAGAGAGAGAGAGAGAGAGAGAGAGCCTTCATGTAATACTCAGGAAAAAGAATTTTGTGATGACTTTCTTCTAGAGATTTCTTCTCGGTTAGGTCTCCCCTCAGAACGTGAATCTCCAGAATGCGTGTTTGTGTGTAAGATATGAATATTTAATCCAGCCCCCTCCCTCAGTCATGTATAAATCATGGAGCCAGTCTGCTTGGGCTGAAAATAGCGCCTAGCAACCCAGAAAAACAAAAATTCACAGTGTTGTGGGTATGTCATGCGCTGCTGCTCGTTCATGTGTGACACAGCACATGGTCTGCTCTCACATTTTCCTTTCTGCCCCGCTCCCCCCCCCCCCCGCACACGTCTGCCAGCACTGGTTCCGGGTCGACGGCAATGGAGATTTCTCACGTTCGCGCCAGTTGCTTTCTTTTCATTTAGAAAGCACTGCCGTCTTCCAGAAAGTTGCTTGTCTGCTCCAGACTCTGACAATATTTGCTTGTCTAGCGCACACTCTTCACTGCTGTGTCTGCGCCGACACCCACGTTGGTACAGGCGAAGTTTGAAATATGTGACTGTAAGAAAAGTCTGCTTGGTGAACGCGGTGATAATGGGATTACTGACCCCCACCATCCGTACCAGCTGCCAATCATAAGGATAAACCATTGTCGGCTGCTGTTGCATCATTTTTTTTCAGTCGAGCTGTTTGCAGGTGGGAGCAGAACTGTGGCAGCGAGTTAGTGTGAGCGGGGCACGAGGACGGTGGCTGTGAAACCCAAGCCAAAGACCGTCTGCCGCCTGGCAGTGACACACAAAAGCCACAGTTTGCCGCATGATGGTATCCTGGGAAACGCTCTCAAATTCATGTAAGCGGTCTGCTCGCAATTCAGACCGGCGGGCTAATAATAGTCTGGTCTGTGTGTACAGTGGAGTCAGGGAGTATTAGGACATTGATATGTTTTTCATTGTGTTGGCTGCACTAAAAACGAGGACTATGAGGCACTGACTTTCAGCTCTAAGCACGTTTTAAAGGTGTTATCGGCCCTCATCTTCCTATTCAACTTGACTTCATTCTTGATGAGTCAGTTTTATTAGACAAATGCATAAAACGCTGCTCAGAATTTCTCCTATGAACTTAATTTTCTTCTACGAGCGAGTAACGTAGTTGGATTGTGTAAAGTGCACGTTGAACGCTGAGTTGTAAGCACTTTTCCAGTTTATGAAACTGTGGTTTATGAAAGAATAATAAAAGACCAGCAACATGCAAGGGCAGTAACTTGTCCCAACTCCCAACACTATCCATCTGATGTGGATAGAAACATGCTTAGATTCAGTCATTTCATTGTTTCTGTTCAAAATCCAATGTGCATGAGTACAGAGCGCACACACTCACTCACACTCACACACACACACACACACACACACACACACACACACACACACACACACACACACACAAAATAAAAACTGTCCTTAAATCTTTGTGACCACATCAATCCCAGGTTAGACCCAGCCATGAATACAGTATATCATATCATAATCATTTGTGTAGAGGAGTGTGGATAGATGAGAAGAGAAGACAACATGTAACTGCACTTATTCATAAGAGCAACTATCTTCATTACGTTTCTGAGACAGCTTTTCATAGCTGAAGCTGGATTAGCATTGTTGGTACATCATTGTAAAAAAAAAAAAAAAAAAATGCCTGTGAAATCCACAGTAATCTACTGTGTTTGTGTACAGCACTGTAAACCATTTCACAGTGGAATACTGTGTATTCTATTGAAAATTACAGTAATCAAAGAGTTACTTTAAGTGCACCGTAAGGAAGTCGCTGCTGTATAAAACGACAGTAACCAATAAGGTATGGCCCGAGGATCACTTTAAGTAAAGACTTTCTTTCAGTGTTTTTTACCTCAGATTTTAACAACATTATGGGAATTTTGTAGTTCATCAGCATCCTGAATGCAAAGACACTAATGTGGAGTAACAAAGATGGTTGAAATTGATCTAATGCAATATTGACTATAGACATAACTGAGAATGTTTATGAGAGCCACTTTTCAAGACTGAAATGATTTCAAACAGAGCCCCACTGGTTGGATTTGATGCCTCGTCATATGTGAGCGCTTGGTCTGCTCCGCCGTTGTCTCTCTCTCTCTCTCTGTCTCGCACTACGATGAAGAGATACCTCATAACTGTACACATCTGCCTCCTTCTTGTCATTTTCTATTTCCTTGTTTTCCCTCGTCCCCTTGGCTTCTCCACAACCCCGTCCAGTCGTCTTCACCTCCCTTTGTTGATGGCTTGACTCTACACAGCTGCTGATTTTGTTACCATACTGAGCACCACATCTAAGCCCTCCTGTTTTCCTTTTTTCCCTACTCTCTGACAGGTGGCTTCACCAGCAACGAGCAGCCCGTGGAACTTCTCAAACCAGCTGCACTCAACCATTTCGGTAGGAAATCTGTGTGTGTGTGTGTAAACTTCATTTGGACTGTGTCAAAGACTTTTCACTTGGTAACAGATTGGATCAGTTACCACTACTTCTACTACTTCTTCTGCAGAAATCCACTCACTTAGAGCGGAGTGACTGATGCAGTCATGTCTTTTGGGTTTGCTGTTGTGCGAAGCCCCACATGTGATTACAGAGCATCAGTGCTCAGCCGGGGATTTGATGACATCACGGTGGCCTCGGCTGGCTGATACATGGCTCAAGAATACACTCAGTCAGTGTCTGTTTCTGAGGGAACTTGTCATTTACTCCCGAGCGCGTAATCCCTTTTCCACCGGCTGATGTCGCGGCGTCGTTTTTTAGCACATGGCAATGTGTTATTCAGCGGCGCGCACGCGTGCGTGTACGAGAGACTGCACGTGAAACGAGGACAATTTTGTTGGAACTTCGCGCTCTTATTGACAGGAATGTGGGGTGATCGCGCCACTCCAGCATGTCATCAGCCCACGAGCGGTATGTTTGTCCCATGTGGCGGTACGGAAATGCTGATGCAGCAGTGATGTCACCGATACGGATGCCAAGCCCCGGAGCCCTTAGCCTGATAATAGCATGTTACGTTGCTTGCAGCAGTGACACATGCAACTGCATCAATACAGGCGTACACACACACATGACACATACAAGCATATAAAGGATGTGTAATGGGCTTTGAAGTATGTGAGCTCTATGTGATTTGTTCAAATTAAATTCTTTAAATGCTATTTTATCTTTTTAGCATTGCATTTTTGTGCTTAGCTTTACACAAATGTGGAGAAAAAGCACAATTACTTAATTTGATGACCACGTTTTTGTAATGACAATAACCTTGAAATTCTTCTTGAAAGCTGTGATACACAGATAGCATAGCATTGTACTGCCAGTTGGGCATTTAAAGAAAACATAATGCACGTACACTCACACTCTTATACCCCATTTAGACCTGTGTATAAAGCGGGGGGATGTCTGCCTAGACATCTCATTTAACTGATTCCCTTTCTGAGTGATGGCGATATATTGAGAATGTGTCAGAGTGAAACTGAAACTTAACTGCCTGCATGAATGGGATAAATGTGGGTTCAAGGGTCATCCAGTAGACCCTCGTCATTCGCACGTCACCTGTATGAAGGCGTCATTTGCATTTCAGAAACACATTTACTAAAGACATGATAAATATTTGAGACAAATAGTGTATTATAAGTAGGACTAGTCAGTGATGTATGACGTGGTCTGAGGCATTATGCTTTCAGGGTTCATCCCATTCTTGTGAACGCGATATACGAGGAACGCCTGGAGGGATGAAGTGGTCAGGTTTCGGTGGTCAAAGGTCACTGTGACCTCACAAAACATGTTTTTGGCCATTAGTCAAGAATTGATATGCTAATTATGACAATTTCGCACCAATGAAATTAAGGACATGATGACATTTTGGATGGACATCTTGACTGGCTGGTTGGACTGAACTGCTGAATCAAATTAGACTTTAAAAAAACAATCTGCGTTTGGCACATCCCTAATAATAACTAAATGTTTAAAGGCCTGCCAAAAAAAAGGACAACAGCATTTTATTGGAATAAGAACAGTACAATGCTCTATTAACACATTGATGAGATGTGTTAGAATTAATTAACTGGGTGCCAAGAGCAACAGCAACACTTCCTGTGTGTGTGTTTGTGTGTGTGTGTGTGTGTGTGTGTGTGTGTGTGTGTCCTATGCTGTGAAGTCCATTTCAACACAGAACCTGGTGAGGCAGCAGTCGGCGCTGGTCAACTTAAAGGAATATATTTCACCCTCAAGATTACCATTTGTATGTCAAACCTTTTTTTTCCAATCATGCCTCCACAGTGAGCGAAGAATCCGTAAAAACAGAATAAATCCTTTAATGAATTGATAGAATATGAGGCCGTGTATAACAACAGCAAACCTATATCAAAACACCACGTTTACAAACTTGCTCGCAATCCGTGCGGTGCAATCCAGGTCTCATTTCTCCAGGCCAGCTACTTCCCAAACGCACTCGTATTCACCAAAACCTCACTATTAAAACACGTCCTCCACCACCGCCTCGTGCACGGACTCGCAAGCGCGCATGTGCAAGCACGAGACGCTAGTGGCGGGAAGTGTTCACCGCGGAGGCGTGCGAGAAGAACTATGTTTTTTTTTGTCCAAGAACTCAAGGTAACACACAAAATGGTCATTATGAGGGTGTGTGTGTGTGTGTGTGTGTGTGTGTGTGTGTGTGTGTGTTTTGTGCATTTTTTGTTCCAGATAAGTTTGGGATCTAAGAACTAGCTGCTCAATCTGAGTGAATGATTCATTTGAAAAGATTTGATGATGATGATGATGGAGACAGCTTTGGGTGCATATTAAGCAGGATGAGTAAATAGTGCCCAGGAGGGGAGGTACTGTAAGAGGAACAATAGGCAGCACCTTTCAGAGTCACTTCCACACGTCAACGTGAACGTGGGTTTGAGCATCTGCTTGTATCTGCGAATGCACATGTGACTTTGGGGAGAGGGAGAGGAAATCAAAGACGAGACAACCGTGTATTGATTTTAAGTGTGTGCGTGCGTGCCGCGTCTGTCCGTCCAAACCCGTGCACAAAGCCTAAACTAGGCTCTTTTCTTCCCAAAGCCAAAACAGCTTTCTCCCACTCTGCACAAATTAGCAGCAGCCCACGCTCCACTCACACATAACTGTCAGAGCACAGACACTGCAGGGAGTGAGGAGGAGGGAGGGGAAGGTGAGAGAAGTGACGAGGAAGAAGGAGGAGGGGGGAGAAATTGGGAGAAGAGGACGGGAAAATAGAGGCTCACAGAAGTGACAGATAATGTGGACCAGAAGTGGTTCTGTAGCTCACAGAAGGGCTTTGGTATGGCTCCTTTCGGTGGGTTGGTAATCATCAAGAAACATGACAGTTGTCTTTTTTTGTATTTTTTTTTTTTATTTTATTTTTATTTATTTTTTTTTTGCCCTAATGCTTTGCGCACATGTCCACCACTCTGTCTGCACAACACTGATATTATGGCTTAGCAGAATGTGAAGCGGCGAGGAAGTGGAGGAAGAGGGACAAAGAGCTGTTCGCACAGGAAGTGGCAGACCTGTTGGCCGGCTTCTGTTTTCTGACTGAACGGCGTACCTTTATGCAATGAATAGCTGCTGGTGGGAGGGGGGTGAGACGTGAGAGAGACAGACAGACATGGAGAGACAGAGAGACATGGGAGCAGAAAAGCAATTTGGGGAGAAGAGAGCCTGGATGAGTAGAAGTAGAGGGATGAGGGAAGGCACATTATGCAAATACCAGCAGACTCATTACCATTTCAAAACTCTGGGAAGGAAGTCGCAAAAAAGTGGAGAGCAGAACTGTGATGACTCTCCCTGATTTACATCACTTCTATTTCCTATTTGCTTCAGGATCTCCCTCTGTGTTGATTTGGTGAATGAAAAGCATGCATTTGTAGAAAACAGATGGAAATACGCGAAGAGAAGGTAGCGGAAAGCGTTGAAAAGGGACAGGCTTAGTAATGAGGGGCCTGAGATGTGTTCCAGAGGACGCCCCGTCTGTAGGTCACCATGACCGCGCAGAGATACTTGTCCGCCGGCCAGACCCCCGCTGCCTCCCTCCCCGCTCGTGTGTGTGTGTGTGTGTGTGTGTGTGTGTGTGTCTGAATGCTTGACCTTAATCCTGACGCTGTAAGTCTGTGTGCTTGCTCTGTTACTGTAAAGGAACATGCCCCTACACAAAGATTTGGGAGTTTTGGCAGCTTGTCATCTGCTTCTCTTCATTTACTCTTTTTCTCCGTACCCAATCTCAACACTGCTAATTTTGCTTTTGCTGCAGCGCAAAACCTTGTGTACCTTGTGTACCCTGTGTACCTTATACACCCCAACAAGAACAACAACAGCAGCAGCAGACATGATCAGCACCTGCTCGACTTGCCACCTCTCCTAATGGAAGACAACCTGTTTTATACACACATGCTCACCAGGGAGCCCACACGGCACCTCAGGCCCTGGTGCCAGTTCCCCCAGATGGGCCCCCAAAGCCCCCCTACCAACACACACCCTGCCCGGTGCCAGTTTGGTGTAGGCAGGAGTCGGTGGGCAGCTGCTTCTTTTCTGCGCAGCCACTATCAGGCTGGTGCGCTAACAACCATGTCAAGCCATCACCCGAGGGATGTTTCCAAATGGTTTCCTTGAACTTCTGATGAACTGAAATATAATCTGCCGCACTTTGCTTCATCTCATCTCCTCGTCATATTTTTATTTATTTTATTTCTTTCTATTTCACACAACAGGTCCGGAATAATTTACCTCCGTTTCTGAATAAAAAAGGAAACTGAAAATCCTACAACGCACTGAAATTGTGGTTTTAAGGCAGCATGCTGAAGCTTTCAGAGAGCAGAGGTGAGATCAGGTTAGATGCTGAGAGAAAGATTGGGGTTGGTTGGAGCACCTAATTATATCTACAGACGTAGCCTGAGGTTGTGGCCTTCATGTCACCCCGGTTAAAGGGAGACACGCACTCGCATGCACACTCTTCACATCCGCGTTTAAGAAAGTACGGCAGAGCGCTCAGAGCCAGACTTGTTTTTGTCTTCCAGCAGAACAGGCAATGCCTTAACCTACTTTGTCTGCATCAGTGCCATTATCCTGACAGCTATAGTGTGTGTGTGTGTGTGTGTGTGTGTGAGTGAGAGTGAGAGTGAGAGTGAGAGTGAGAGTGAGAGTGAGAGTGAGAGTGAGAGAGAGAGAGAGAGAGATCGATCCTTGGTAATGGTCAAAAACATTCAACGTGTGAATGGTCTGTGGTGCTGCATGATCACAGTGGAGGTACAGTGGTTTCAGGTGAGTGAGTTTGTTGCAGAGGGAAAAGATTTTTCCATGTTGCCATGTCATGAATTTTGCATATGGCCTGGTGTGTTTTGCTTTGTTGACTGGCTGCGTCGTCTTACTAAGACCTAGAT